TGGTGTTTTTCAGGGATTTGGTGTTTTTCAGGGATGTGTTCAACAGTCATGTGGTGCTGAGCAGGGATGTGGTGCTGAACAGGGATGTAGTGTTCTGCAGGGATTTGGGGTTTTTCAGGGATCTGGTGTTTTTCAGGGATCTGGTGTTCAGCAGGGATTTTGGGGTTTTTCAGGGATGTTGTGTTCTGCAGGGTGACCTCTGTGAGAACAAGATCAGGGGCTGCCTTTGTGCTCCTCTACCAGACACAGAAAGTTCCAGAGACCCACCTCAGACCAGGGTTAAGCTGACCTATGAAAACGATGGTGCTTCTCAAAAAAAAAAAATAATTGTAAAAGGGCAAAATGCTGCATGGCGGTGAGGAGGGAGGCAAAGTAAAGTGTGAGAAACAATGCTSAGATAGGTTGGTTGGTGGTTTTCTCAGTTTTTTCTTGTGGTTTTTCACACTGTCTCTCCACCTAGAGGTTCTCACTAAAACCTGCACTCACTTTAAAGAAGAAGAGGCAGTAAGAGTATTCAAAATGATACCTTTGACCATGAATGAAACTTTTCATCTCAATGGGATGACATTTAGCTTCCTTCAGGCAGGAAGGTTGCTGGTTGTGAAGTGCCCACTGAGTTCATTGTTTTCTGGTCCACTTTGACATCCCAATGCTGCTTTTGCCTTCRGCATATTTGATATTTGACATTTTCTATCCCATCACCACACCCCAAGGGCACCTCCTGGCCCAGTCGGGCCTGATCAGCTGATCAGTGGGAGAAAATGTCCAGTTCAACCCACAGGCATTTTACAGGGGAAAAGGAAATGCTTCATCTGACATTCAAGGCCACTGAAAGGAGAGCAGGGTGTGAACAGGCTGGCTGGAATTTRGTGTGAACATCCTAAGAGTTGGTACTGGAAACCCACATGATCTCCCCTTGGATGAAGAGATACTGCTGCCTCTGGAAGGCTGGATTAGTGTTTTGTACATTTGTTGAATCACCTGCTGGGTTTTGGATCCACCTGCTGGGTTTGGATCCACCTGCTGGGTTTTGGAATCACCTGCTGGGTTTTGGATCCACCTGCTGGGTTTTGGATCCAGTGCTGGGTTTAGGAATCACCTGCTGGGTTTTGGAATCACCTGCTGGCTGGACTGCACGAGGCTGATGGAGACAAGGCAGAGCCTTGGCAGCGTTTGGGGACAGACCTGTCCTGCACATCCCACCTGTCCTGCACATCCCACCTTCAATCTCACCCAGGCTCTCCCAAAGGGTGTCACCCCCTCTTTCTCACCCTCAGGGTTTGTACCCAGTCCCCAAGAAGGCTGCACACACAAAGCAAGATGCAACATGATTTTATTGATGGCCACAAAGCAGAGGAGGAGGCAGCACTGGGCAGCAGTGGGAGAAAGGGGAAAATGGGGAATTGTGTGGATTTAGGACCTGCATTTTTACCTTGCCAAGGAGACTTTGCTTAGCTCAAAATGCTGTGTCTGTGCCACGRGGACTCCAGCTCAGCTCCTGGGGGCTTCTGAGCACCAACAGGAAAGGGGCACTGAGCGTTTCAGCCAGAGGATGGAGAGCCAGGCAGCTCTTGGACCGTGAATCTCCTCAGCTGTTCACGGATCCAGGGGTCAAAATAGGAGATTCTGGTAAACACCACGGGGCAGAGGCTCCGTTCAAGTCCATGAGAGACGATGCCATGAGCCTTCTTATTGCAGACTAAAGGGCCACCAGAATCACCCTGTGTCATGAAAGGAGTGAGAGGGGTCAGACAAGCCACAGCACAGCTCTCCCTGCCTTAAGGAACAAGGTTCCTCTCCCCTCCCTCTGTGGGAAGAACCTCCTCTTCCAACACCTCCCTCCCTCCCTCTCCCCAGCCCCAGCTCTGCAGGGTTTGTGGCTGCCTCTCTGCCCCTCTAAGCCCATCCATKAAACAATCCAGGCCTAAGGCTCTTTGAGATTCAGAAGCTCAAAAAGAACATAGAGCTACTTAGACATGGGGAAATATCCAAGCCATGCTAGCGAGGGTATCACAAAGAATTTACACACTGGAGCACTTGCTAGGCTGGGTAGGACATCCCCAAGTAAGTAAAAAGCAAATGATGCCAACACTTGGGAAAATGCACCTCAATTCAGAGAGCACATCAGCTTCAGAGCTTCTGTGAGGACCATCAGCTCATGATCAGGAAGGTCCTGGTTCATTCTGGTGCCCTTTGACTTTCCCCTGAGGACCAAGCTGACTGTCTGGTCCCAACCCCCTCCCAGGCTTGCAGCCCAAAACAACAAAACAACACTTACACGGTAAGATCCCTTTTTACCATCATCCCCAACACAGATCATAGACTGCTGCTGGTAGCCATGGAATCGCCGCTGACATTCTGCCTCCCTTTGCACCATCAGTTTCACCTCCATCATCACATCAGTTCGACACCCTGTTATTGATGTCCGGCCCCAGCCRGACACTTCACATTCAGCTCCTGCTCTCACACGTTCGTTTCTCCCAGCCCAGGGGATCGTTTTCACATATTTCTTGATCTTGGCCTTTGGTTTCAGCTGTCAGGCAGAGAAAACATGAGGTTAGAGGTGGCAGAGGATTGGGAACGAGTTCCCAGCTTTGGGGGGTGAGCAGAGGCAGCTCCCTYGGGCAGGAAGGATGTGCTGGGCTGTACCTGCAGCAGGGCGATGTCGTTTCTGAAGTCACAACGGGAATATTCGGGATGGATGATCCGGTGTTTAACAAGGAACTTCTGCTGGCTCCGTTCTTGGCCACTGATGTTGTGGGCTCCCAAAATCACCTTGAGATTYGTGATCCTGCCCAGAAATACCAACATGTGCCAGCTGCATTGGCCACAGGAGCACGGATGGTTGGAGGGATGTGATGCTGGGATAAACCTCCCCATGGCTGAGATCCCTGCAAGTTGTCCTCTATAACCTGGGTTCCTTCCCCAGCCCAACTTCCCTCACCTGAAGAAAATCTCCACCCCAGTCTGAAGAAAAAAGGGACCCCGGGAAGGGGAGACACTGACCCCTCTTCTCCAGCAGTGGCTCTGAGCCGTGGTAGGAACCATGGCCATGGAGAGCACTGTGAGTATTCCTGTCCCCAAGGACACTCAGACAGTTCCTGCAGCTCACAGGGGACAGCTCAGCTCACAGAGATCCCTGCTCTGCCTGAAGAGACACGGGCTGCTCTTTCAGCCCAGACAGGACTGAGGCCCTTCAGGGCTATGTGAGMCCCCAAAAATCACATGTGCAAGAAAGACAAGGTCTTACCCCTCTTTATCCAGACAGTGAGCTGCTGTGAGCACKGCATCTGGGCGAATCAGGAACCCTCCACAGCTGTAAGACTGTGAGCCCGTTTCAATTCTTACATAAGCCATGTAGGGTCTGGAGTGGGGCTTGACTTCCCTTCCACCAATGATCCTTCCTGGGAGAGAGATGGGAAATGTCCACATCACTTATGCTGCTGTTTCCCATCAGGTGTGGAGCTGCATGAAGGGAGAGGCTCATCCTCTAATGTCACACATTGGTGACACCAACAGCTCTCCTTCCTGAGCTGTCCAGAGCATTGCTGCTGCACCGTGGAGAGGGAGACAAGCAGCACTGTGTGGGGGTGACTGACCACAGCCAGCTCTGGGTGGCCAAAATGCCATCAGAGGGCACTGCTCGAGTCCCTGTAGGGCATCTCTGGTTTCAGGCAGAGTCTGAGCTGAGCTAAGAGGAGAGAGGAAAGCAGGAAAGTAGAGATAGGAGAGAAGGAAGGCAGAAACCTCGGCTGAGATGGCCTCCTCAGTGCCCACCCTGTCTGATCCCAGCTCTGTTCACTCACCAGCCCCAGCCCAGGGCAGGACAGCAGCGCTTGTGAGCAGAAGGAGAAGCAGCATCTTCCAGCACTGAGCTGAGGAGCCCAACCCGCTCTTGGCCAGGCAGGGACAGGTACAGAACAGAACCCCTCTGCATGTGGTGTGCAGCTGACACAGGAAACCTCAGCTTGTGTCGTTTGCTGCTTTTGTGCTTTCAGCCTCCAGACTGTGGCTTGGTGAGGGGTTCATGACACATTCTGGGTGTTTTTGTCACATTCTTGAGAAACTGGGAGAGATCTGGGCTTGTTCAGAGTCCCCACCATGCCCAGTACAGAGGCAGCAGGGAGAGCAGCGGTGGGTGTGTGGGGTGCATTTCCCATCCTTTGGAGACCTTTGGAGAGAGCCCCCTTGGGCCCTACATGTGGGCTGCTTCCCTTTGGATTTTTTATCTTTTTCTTCTTTTTCCCCCTATTCTCTGCTAGGAAGGGTGAGGGCTGGCCAGGGCCAGACAAAGGTCCTGGTTCTTCTCAGAGGGGCTGACTGCTCTCAGAGGTGTCCTTGGGGTGTCAGAAATCACCAATGACAGGAGCCAAGGRACAAGGCCAACGGGAGCCTCCCCAGCCTCAGGCACTGCTGTTCTGAGTGATCTGACAAGTCCAGAGTGATCAGAAAGTCTGGGCTCCAGCTGGGAATTCAGACCATGGCTTAGCAGGAGAAGGGGAGCAGCCCTGCCTGAGGCCTCTCTGAGCTCGTCCCTGGGAGCTCTGGCTCCGGTGTCAGCAGCTGGAAGGGACTAAACCCACCTTGTGCTGACCCTACTGTGGTCATGAGCCTGATGCCTGATGATTTTTGCTTTTCCTTTTTACACTTTCTGTACCCTCTATGCATCCCCCTGTACCCCTTAGCCCACGTTTGTAATTCCTGTGGCTGATATTCCAGCTCAGTTTAGGATTTCTGCTGGGCAGAGAGACCAAACATCCTCAGGAAGGAGTCAGTGTGCCCTGTGCTATCTCAAACCCAAGCTCAGCCTTGGGTGAAGCTTAAATTCAACTCCAGCCTTGGGTGAAGCCTTCTGTCCAGAACATCTTGCGTAAACTGGGCTCTGGCCTCATCCAGGAGGGGATTCATTAGAATTGGGGGACATTACTGCATTTGTTAAGTTTCTTATTGGGGAATCCTAGATAGATTTGCTAATTCCTGAAACCTATAAAACTTGTACCCGTGCTGTACACGGGTGTGCATTCTGCCATCGAGTTGTGCACCTGGGATCCCAAATATCGAGGTAAAACCCTTTTTATCCCCTTAACCGTGTCTGTGTCATTATTGAAAACTGGCTGGTCAAGGCAACAGCCCAGTTAGTGAAACTCCAGGATGTTCCCAATTTTAGATGYCTGTGGTCTGGAGAAAGCCCACAAATAAATCCACCAGACTCTACTGRCATTGCCCTTACCCTGCGTTCTGAAATGACAATGGACTGTGGTTTGTGGTGGGGATCCTCCTCAAACCTGYTTGGTAGAGGGGATAAGGGTGGAAAAGGAGGAGTTCCCATGAAAGAGCACAAGCAGCAATCCCCCAGAGCCTTAGGATTTTTGGTTGCTATATTTTCATGTGTCTGTATTCTTTTATTTCTCTAGTACAACACTAAAACT